GGGGGGGGGGGGGGGGGGGGGTGTATACATCAGTAACAACTTAAATGAGGAAAGCATAGGAAGTATAGAAAATGCGAAAGGATATCCTAACTCAATCACATATATGCAACAGATATTGCCCATTCTAAGCTTGCACAATATTACATATTTAAAATATTTTAAAAAAAGTCAAATCACCACCGTAGCACCAGTTTTTCAATACATTAAGTCAAGAAAATATGAATACAATGATTTCTTTACTCTAGAAATAGAAAGTACATAGTAAGATCAATGAATTGATAACATTACCAATGTAACCAAAAAATTTCCCAAATATCCTCCTCTGTCATAAATTTACGATAAATGAAAGAATCATAACATTCAAATAGCAAAGAAGAAAATAACCACTTCCTGAATAATTGGGATCAAAGTTCATTGAATTGCCTTTCATGGTCCTCTACACGTGGATCTTATAAACAATTCACATGTAATAATTTTAAACAACTGAGGCTACTTTTAATTTTTAGATTCTTTATCCGTTCCTATTGCTTCTAGTTATAGCTAAACATTTGGATTATTTTTTAATCAGATTTCTTGCACAATGATCCTATCTGAAAATATGAAATAGATGTATTGCATGGCGTTATTTGGAAATGATAAGAATAGTCTAAAGTAATAGCAAAAGATGAACATTTATAACATTAAATTGGGAACTGAACATTACCATGAGAGCCGCACTTTTTAAGATATGATCCAAGCTTGTCAGACGTATCTTTTACTTCATCAGCCCCACTTAGTAATAAAGAATCTTCCAATTGAACCAAACGCCTCTTAGAACATAAACTACTGCTACTACTCCTTGAGACCTTTAACGATTTACGTTGCTGTACTCCTGGACTTGAAGTGGACAAATGACTTCTTTTGTTCCTACTCTCAAAATCTTCAGGTGTATCTTCACCATCCTTAGAAACTGCCCCATCAGGGATCTCATCCAAAGAAACAGAACCCAAATCATTGATAGAGCTCGTCCCAACTGGCACACCGACATTTATAGACCATTATTTCATTAAAATATAGAAAATGAAGAAAGAAAAAATGACAGATAAAGGAGATGATATGCTAGAGACTTGTGATATATAAATTTTACAAAAATCAACCCGAAGTGGAATCACATACATAGATGATATGTGGCAAAGAATAAAAAAGTAGAAGACTTAAAAAAGTCCAAATAAACCAAAATATATGACAATCCTTTCACAAATGCAGCAGCCAGAACCAACTATCATCGTCATTCATCTATAGAAAGTATGTTAAAAAAAAGATGCAATTTTTTCTTCAAGATTGTCTAAATCCACCATATAGACCTTATTCCATGTTCAGAATTTCACTAGACAGATGATATAAACCATCCTATGAAAGAATACTAAAAAAAACACTGTGTTTCTTCTTATGCAAAATGTTTGATGTTTCCGCCACCATATCCTAAGAGCAGAATTTTTTCTTTATCACATTTCCCTTTCAAAATAATAAAATACAAAACCAAACGACTGCCACATTTAAGTAATCTGCATGCTGGATCCCAAGTCAACCTCACTCAAAATCCACTGGAACACATTTAATAAGAAGAGTCCTTTATTAATAATGAAAAAGCACAAAAAGAAAAAAGGATAAGACATCCTCACAAACGCCTAGGGTTTATATAAAACACTTCAATTCGCAAAATCCGCGGGAACACATTTATTGAAAAAATGTTATTACAAAGTGGTGGCTGTCTTCATGGGGCTGCTGAAACGCATTGGTCTTCAACAATAAGTGACTCAAAACGCTCTGTAACTTTCATCCTACTACATAGAGTCAGTTCATGAACAAGCAATGCATCAAACTCCAAGCACTATATTCATTATCATCTCTTTTTCGAAACAAATATCACTCTCCATGGCCTCCAGTATTGGCCAATTGGAATGCGAGGAGGTTACTAAGCCATCGGATGCAGTTAAAAATACGAAACCAGCAACAAATCAAAAAATTAAACAGCAGTATTACAGCAAAAAAAAAGGCTGTTTCACCTTTTTGACTACCGTACGAGCTAAAATGCTGAAACGAATAGCTAGGAGGGGCAGAACCACGATCAGCTTCGCACAACTCAACCTCCTCGATTATTATCCCGGTTCTAACAGAGCCGTCAGGTCCCATGAGCTTCGGCGCCGCCACATCCACCGGATAATTCAACTCAAGAGCATCCATCACCGAAGCCCTAACAACAGCGAACTATAAAAAGAAGACGATTCACTGCAGCCGCCGAACATCTCAAAGGAACCTAAAACGCCGTCGAAAACAGATACCAATCTGAACTTACAGAAGACCATTTGGACATCGCACCGGAAAGACTGGGATCGGGGAGTGAGTCAAGAAAAGTGAATTAGGTGGGAGAAAACGAAAGGAGAAAGGAAGAAAAACGGGAGTGTTTAGCATGTTGCGGCTAAGAGTAGGAGAGATCAGAGCTTTTAGGGCACGAATTGGGGAACAAAGGTAAGTATATATAGTTTTCGGGAAAATATGTGTCATATTTGGAAAAGACCGTCGACGGGAGAATATTCCGTTCCGTTCTCCGTCAGAAATCGTCCGCGAATACCCACTTTGCGTGGAGATGGGGCTTGTTGTCTTTTACGGACCTTGACGTGGCATTATCCATTAAATAATTAAATCCCCATTATAAAATATTAATCGGATAATCTTTGCCTCCAACCAATAATCATCCATCACGTATTGCTACGTCGTGTACTTTTAATTATAAAAAAAATTCTATACAAAATTTTAAAAATATTGAAATTAGTTTATTGTGATTTAAAAAAATTCAAATTTAGTCGTTATCTTTAAAGTCTAAAAGTCTAATGCAATAAAATGATATGCTTTTTTATATTTAAATTTAAAATTGTGAAAAATAGTGCGAACAAATGATAGGATTCAAATGGATTTATAAGATTTATTTCGTAATTTAACACTGATTTTTGTTAAGATAATGTCTTGATATTATTTAGATTAACATTATTTTAGCCTTAGATTTTAAATTATATTTGATGCTACCAAGATTTGGGCAAGGTAATGCGCGTGGTATTCGTGTGACAACAACGGTAAAATTTATTTGAGTAATTTTATTTTGATCGAGTGCAGTTTTTATTAGGTCCTTAAGTTTCCAATATTATACTTTTACGTCTAAAATTTTGAATTTAATTTCTATTTGGTTGATACGTGGTAAAATATTATCTTTACTAAATGAAAATTAAATTAATATAAAGTATTAAAAGAATATAAGAATATAATATTTTGAAATTAGAACAAATTGAAATTAAGCTTGAATGTCACATAGAGAATGTAAGGTTTTGAAATATAAAAAATGAGCTCAGATTTATTTTCGGTCTAACAGCATACTCAGAGTTGCAGACGGACACAGCCTATTCTATTGGGCCTCATTGGGTCGGCCCACTAGATCCAATCCAATGTGACCCGAGACACTCGATTTGAGTGTATGGGCCGTTTCTTTAGCATCCAAATTACTGTCGCCCCATGTCAACTACTACGGCAAATACGTATCTCCGGTTCAGTCGTCTTCAACCGGCCACCCAGCTCTGCCGTTGTGTCGTCCCACATGACGAGCTTGTTCTGTGGCTCACTCGCTCCGTGTTCTCTTGCGGGCGCAATTACAAGGTGATTTTCTTCGTCTCACTGAGTCATGAAGTGCCGGAGCGTAGCGTGCATATGGACCGGAACGCCTCTGTCGCACAGAGTTACCGCCACTGCCGTGTTGAGCCACCCTCCGACTCTCTACACCGGCGGATCTGATGGCTCAATTATCTGGTGGAACTTATCCTTCAGCGATTCCAGCTCGGTAATTCGAGTAGCTATAGCTAAACTCCGCGATTGATTATAATGTTTAGCTGATCATCTATATAATGACAATGGAGACTCGTTAGCTAGTTAAGATAGATCAGTTAACAGTTTTGCCGTTCTCACTGTTCATTGCATTTAATTTAATTTCTCTGCTCCGACATTAGAATTCAACTTAGATTGGTGAGCTTGAGGTACCAATTCATTTGGTGTAATTCCTTCGCCAACTGATCTATGTCTGTTTTCTAATTGACTTTCATATTGATATATTTGCTCCGTGGATTGATAGTAAATCATGTAGCTCGATAATTACTTCTCCTCTTGTTAGGAAATTGAACCGGTTGCTGTATTGTGTGGCCATGCTGCGACAATAGTCGATCTTGGCATTTGTTATCCTCTTATCTCGGGGACGAGTGAGACAGAAATTTCAAGTAATGCCGAGGTGAACTCAACTTCAGAAACTTGTGGTGCATTAGTAAGTGCGTGTTCTGATGGTGTGCTGTGCATTTGGAGCAGGAGAAGTGGACATTGCAGGCACAGAAGAAAACTACCTGCTTGGGTTGGGAGTCCATCCATGGTGCGTACGATTCCGTCAAAACCAAGATATGTATGCATTGGATGCTATTTTATTGATAATGCTCATTCGTCTGATCACCACTCGGTTGATCACACTGAAAGGAGTGAGGCTTCAGCCAATAAAGAGTATCGCCATAGAAACCATTCCAAATGCTCTTTCGTTATCTTTGATACGTATACACTTTCCATTGTTCAAACTGTGGTGCATGGAAATTTGTCTATTGGCTCATTGAGGTATATGGCCATCGTCTCACCATTAACAGGTGAGGGGAATCATTCAGCAGTTTTAGTTGATTCATTTGGTCGGCTGCAGATGGTTTCAACATCTAACTACCAAGATAAAGTGGATGAGGCTAGCTTGCACAATAGTTCGCAAGTGGATATTTCTATTTGGGATGAGGTATTAAGTGAGAGAGGTCTGGTTTTGTCAGTTGCAACCAAACGCAATATTATTGCCTTTTTGTTGCCTGATCGTTGTGTGTTTAAGCTTTTAATCAACGGTCTCATGGTTGGAGAGCTTTTTTTTACGGACATTCTTTTTGGTGTTAATGAGGTCACCTCGCAAACTCATGCTGCTGGAGCAATGTTTCTTGAGGGTGGTGATGAATTGAATAACATGGATAGCCAGACATGCCCTGAAACATTTGTTGAGAAATTTGCTGTGTGGAATTCTGGAGGTCATGCAATCGTATATATGATATCATTTGCAAATAACACATTTGAATACAAACTTCTTTATGAAATTCCTGCATCTTTTAATTCCTCAGATGTGAGACTATCAATATCTTTCATTCAGCTAAATAAACATGTCATCCGCATCGAGTCACTTAGCTCTCAAATTGAAGAGCCTTATCATTGGACTTCTAGTATTACGATCTGGTCACTACAAGAGAAACATCATGTTCATGGAAATTCGTACCTGAAATGCAAAATGGTTGGTGAATCTAGTTCATTGGCAGAGTGGATTTCAGATTCCACTTGCTACAGTGAATTCGTAGGGCAATATGGTGTAGGATCTGAGTTGAATTCTCAGCGCTTGTCTGATTCTAGTTCCGGAAGTGTAAATGATTTATATTTAGGTGGTGGTAACAATTTTGTGCAGAAGGGACAAATAATATCTTCTTCTATGGTTATTTCTGACAGTTTATCTACTCCTTATGCAGTTGTTTATGGCTACTTTAGTGGCGATATACAAATTTTAAAGCTTGATTTGTTCCAAGATCTCCCTTCTCATAGTGGAAGTCCACACTGTGAAGTGAATCATCATGTACCACAACTATATCTTTCCGGACACATGGGACCTGTACTTTGTTTGGCAGTTCATCGAATAATGGGCAAAGGTAACGAACAAGTTCTTTTATCTGGAAGTATGGATTGCACCATTCGGATATGGGATCTTGAATCTGGGAATCTTATCATGGTAATGCACCACCATGTGGCTCCTGTGAGGCAGATAATTCTTCCTCCTGCTCATACTGACCATCCTTGGAGTAGTTGTTTTCTTTCAGTTGGGGAGGATTCTTGTGTTGCACTTGCTTCCTTAGAGACTTTAAAGGTGGAGAGAATGTTTCCTGGACATCGCAACTATCCTGAAAAAGTTGTGTGGGATGGTGTAAGAGGGTATATTGCATGCATGTGCAGTAACCATTCCAGTACATCTGATACTGTGGATATATTGTATATTTGGGATATCAAGACAGGTGCTCGTGAGCGGATTATTCCTGGGGAAGCTTCTCACTCAGTGTTTGATTATTTTTGTAAAGGAGTTGGCAAGAGTTTGTCTGGCTCTGTTCTGAATGGAAATACCTCTGCTTCATCTCTATTCTATACAATAGTCGAAGATGGGAGTCTTAATGATTCTGTTTCAAGCTATGGTCAGTCCACCGATACATTAGAGGCAATGGCACATCTGACGAACAAGGTAGAGTCGGGCATGTCCAATGGACATGCTAGAATACAGAACTCTGCTAAATCATTTCTAAACTCTCTCTATAATTCTGAGAGTGAACAGCATCCTATTAAGTGCTCATGTCCATTCCCTGGGATTGCTACAATAAGCTTTGATCTTAAAGCATTAATGTCTTTCAATCAGAAGGCCATGTCAATGGTAAATAGAAATAATATCGAAGATACTGCAGTTCCGAAGGATCAGCAAGCTAGGATGTCAAGTCCCAACGCCAAGGATAATAAAATGGATGATCCTTTGGCCCATGAAATTTCAACTGAATATAGTGAAGAGCTTAACTGGATTAGTTCATATGAAGAATGTTTAATTCGGTTCAGCTTGTCCTTTTTGCATGTATGGGGTGTTGACAGTGATCTTGACAATTTACTAGTAACTGACATGAAGTTGAAAAAACCAGAGAGCTTTATTGTAGGTTCTGGTTTGCAGGGGGATAAAGGTTCATTAACAGTGACATTTCGTGGTTTGAAAGCTGTTCTTGAGGTAGTCTGGATAATCTGTGCTGAATAATGCGGCATTTTCACGTTTCATATATTTCTTCTGACTCTTGAAATTCAATTTCAGCTTTGGAAGTCATCCGCTGAATTTTGTGCCATGAGGTCACTCATGATTCTGTCTCTTGCTCAACACATGATTAGCTTGTTTCACTCAGGTTCATCTGCCAGCAGGTTAATTAAAATTACTGCACAAGCAATATAGCAATTGATTTTTTTTTTCCTTCTTCTTTTGAGTTAGACATGTACCCCAAATTTAGGATTTAGTAATGGCAGTCCTGAACTCGGAAGTTATTTTTAATTGTAAAAGTTACCGGCCCATCGTTTTCAGTTGGCTTAACTACCACTTTACCAAGAAAGCACGTGAAATCTTTAATAGGGATTTTGAACACAGGATCACTAGGTGGTGTAAGGCCTTTATCTTGATTCCAAACTGTTGGGAGTGCTAGACCCCACCAAACACTTTGCATTAGTGTGGACAGATTTTTATTTACTTTGCAATATACTAGCAACTCGAGCGACTCTCTGAGAGGTCAACTCTCCTTTCCTATAGCTGACATTAGGATGAAATACTAACAAACTGAACGCCCTCTATTCACATGGTTGCATAAGTATTCTCTTTCCCCATACTAATACTTGTTTTCTATTAAAGAATGGACTCCATATGAACAAGCAGTAAACACGTCCCTCTTTATAACATAGCCAGTTCTACTTAGTCGGCTTAGCTACTTTTCTCCTTGCACGTGACATGGATTGGTGGCCCATAGAAGATGATTGGAAAAAAGGCTTAAACTATTCCAAATATTAAGAAAAGTAGAAAGGCCAGTGGACCCATTTTCAATTACACGCATACACACACATAGATATAGATACCGATGTATGTACATATACATACACAGTTATCTAGATTTGTTCATTTTTCACCCTGTTTCTCTTTCTTTGCAGTGCGCTGGCAGCTTTCTATATGAGGAATTTTGTGGACAAGGTTCCAGATATAAAGCCACCTTTACTTCAGGTACATCTTTGTTTATTTTTCTCAATTTGTATGTTTACCAATAAACTGCATGTAGTTACCTATGTAATTCATTCTTATAATTAGAATAAGGTATTCAGTTTCTTTTGCGTGACATTGCTGGAGGATCCGTACCATTGTGTGATTGGATTGGTGTACTTGTTGCTGTGGTTAGTTGCTTCTTTCCGAGTTAATATGTTTGCAGACCAATTTTATATGCATAGATTATTGATGAAACGAAAAGATTATATTATTGAGGCGACTGGTGCATTCCTTTTTCCTGAAATAGGCACTTTCATTGAAACAGTAAAAAGTTATTTACCAGCATACTCCTGCCCGCAACATAAAATGGCCCCAATATGTGTTGCTCACAAAGTAAATATCTAGACTAGACCAATTGGGAGCACTTCGTTTTTCTAACACGAAACCCCTTTCCTCCCTCAATATTCTCCTATTCATATAGTCCTTTCTAACCAAATTTCGTGTGGATCACCTTTACTTTTTGTGTGTATTTTTCCAGTGAGCACCTGGTCCAAGTTTCCTGGCACATTTGGATCAACGATCCAACACATATCAACTAATTTAAGTAGACCCCGTCACATCGTAGACTAGGGACAGCTCTAAAATTCTCATTTATGTTTTCTGATTTTTTTTTCTCATGTATTCACACTTCTCAGAAAGATTGTTTAACCCCCCCCCCCCCCAAAAAAAAAAAAAAAAAAAAAAAAAAAAAAAAA